AGATGATGGATCTAAGAACAAATGATGAGTGACTCTTGATCAAAATTGGACGGCTGGATGGTAGGGGAAGCATAGATCTTCTATGCTGTAAGGGAAGTATAGAAACCTTTCCCATAACAAATAGCCTCTAATACCCACTAATTAATATTTTTCTCAGAAAGATGGTGCAATTAGAAGCAATTTTGACAATTTTGTATTTTTTTTTATAAAAACCATACTATTTCTTCCCAGTCCATTTTTTAACAGATACCATTAAATGTAACCTGTATATCTCTTAATACTATTGTTAGTTATTAAAATGTAAATATATTTACATTTTATAGGCAATAGTTTATGGATAAAATAAATATTGCTATGGATCATAATATCAAATGAAGCTCAGTCAAAAGGCAAGTACGAATAACCACAACAAAATGCGACTATTTGGTTTCTTTGTGTGCAGCAATCTGTTAATTCGGGGAGAATGCATCTGCAAACCACGACATTCTTACACAGGTGTGAAAGTTGCACAGAACAATATTGCATGAGGAGTTTCAAGAAGATCAAGAATCATTGGCTCAAAAAGATGTTAGAAGCTTTTCATGTCCAAGTTAGCACTAAGCATGAGCATGTAAAGTTTTGCATGGGAAATGAAAAGCTTGCAAGCAAACTACAAACACAATCGAAAAGAAAGACTGCATTTCAAAATGCAAAGTTCTGTGTACTTTCTAATGAGTAATAATTTTCATTTCCACCATGAACTTTAGATACCAGAGGGCCCTACAGTATAATATTGTTGAGCTCATCCTACAAACTGATTAAAATAACAGCCAATTTCACTAAGGGCACATTTGACAACCTGGAAAATCAGGGGAATTCCTCTGTTTTCCAGGTCTCTGTAGCCTTCCACTGTTGGTAATGGGGAAAGCCACAGTGAACTATGGAAAAGAGCAGAAAGTGGTGGTTTGCTTTTCGCCTTTTCCACAGTTCTGTGGAATCCCATGGTTAGCTGGTGTTTCTAATAAAATGGGGGAAAGATGGACAACCCTTTGCATGGGAAATGAAAAGCTTGTAAGCAAGCTACATACACAATCGAAAAGAAAGACTGCATTTCAAAATGCAAAGTTCTGTGTAATTTCTAATGAGTAATAATTTTCATTTCCACGATGAACGTTAAATACCAGAGAGCCCTACAGTATAATATTGTTGAGCTCATCCTACAAACTGATAAAAATAACAGCCAATTCACTAAGGGCACATTTAACAACCTGGAAAACCGGGGGAATTCCTCTGTTTTCCAGGTCTCTGTAGCCTTTCACTGGTTGGCAATGGGGAAAGCCACAGTGAACTATGGAAAGAGTAGAAAGTGGTGGTCTGCTTTTCCCCTTTTCCACAGTTTTGTGGAATCCCAGGTTAGCTGGGGTTTCTAATAAAATGGGGGAAAGGTGGACAACCCCCCTATCACCCACTTGACTAATTTAAAAACCTCCCCAAACGAAAAAGTTTGATTAAAAACTTATGATTATAGGTTAATGTAGTGTGAAACTCACTATTTGAGCTTCAGGGGTAGACCCACTTTGAGGCCCTCTGTCTCTTTCCTTGAAAGTTTCTTTAACGGAAAAGCTGCCACAAACAAGGAGAAAACAAGATCTGGGCATGTAATTCAATAGACTCAAGGCCATGGCAATATTTAATTCCACGTGCTCCAGTTGCTCACTACCCAAAACTATGGACTCAAGAATGTCATTGTCATCATTGAAGGTAACAAGTTTTAGAAAGAGATATTTGAGTGAGCTAAAAACCTTCAAAACTGATGAAGGTTTAAGCTAACCAAGTCCAAAGACACTAAAGACACACAAGAGAACAAAGAAGAATGCGATTTGCATGACACATCTCGGATCAAAAGAGACTCAAAGAATATCATATCTTAAGCTACAAGAATTTCCCAATGCCCCTAGAGACTAATGCATATCTTTGACCGCTTTTTCCATTTCTGCATACCACTTCCAGTGGCCTTCCGTCATACCTGGCAGGAAGCGAATTCAGCTGTTGATGCTTTAGCAAAAATGGTCCAAACGGACATACATGCTTAGCACCCTTTTGTTTTTTTTTATTTTGGATTGTCTGTTGCAAATGGACATGTTGGTTGTTGGTGTTTTCTTTTATCTGCCTTCGAAAATCCTCTCCCTCACACTTTCACAGCTCACACCCCCTCCTTTTTAGACTCCACTTGAGGGCCACATATTCGAGTAATAAATTGTTTTACTTTTGGGTGGGGTTTGAATAAGGCGCCAACTTTAAATAATCAAAGTAACACGCACCTAAAAAACGTGCCGAAAAATGCAGTTTTGTTGTTAGAAACCCTTGTGGTAGTATGAAAATCTATTTTCAGGTCATCTTGTGAAATTTTAAGTTCTAAAAATGATATTGAGGAGATCTACAACCACTAGAAAATCTTGAAATTGACGCTTCAAATAATGCATTACAATATGCACTATTTGCGGGACTCGAAATCATTTTTTTTCATATCCAAACATTTCGAGGTCAAGATGATCAATTGGAAGGTCTTCCAAGTTCAGAACAACCTTTTTCAGTGGGTTTTTGACATCCACCTTACTTCTGTAGTATAAGGTTGAGACCTCATAAAAACTTTTTCCTTAAATTTTTTTTTCTCTTTCCTCTTTTACTCATGTAAAGCACCCAGCCTCTGGGCTGCCTTAACACAAATCTCATGGGAATTGTGTGAGGGAGAGGATATCTTATCATCTTATCACCTATATATATATAATAATAAGAACCATATATATAATAAGAAGACATCTTGCGCAGAAAAAGAAAAAGAGAAGAATAATGGTATGACTCATCTCAATCAAACAACCCATTTTTAAAGTTTTTATCAAAATCATCACCGAAATATTCTTTCTAACTTGATCCCTCTTTGTTAGAAAAAGGATCCATTGATCAAGATTATAGCTATAAAACCCCACTGGTTTGGAAAACAAATGGCGAGAATGGAAGAGAGGATTCATTCCATTTTCTCTGAAGGAGCAAATACTCGCTAAAAGTTCTATGTTCTTCTCTCCAAAAAAACCAATTCCCTCTTGCATTCTCTCCCATTGTAGGATGCTCAAAGCCCAACTATATACTTAATTACCTTCTACAAGGACGTTCACTTGTTTTGGCACCTAAAGGGTTTCTCCATTCGCTATCACATCTTCTCTTTCAAGTTGAGATGCAGAGAGGAATGGGAGGGTACTCTAACTAATATTGGGCATTTTGGATTTCTATAGGATTCAGGATCTGAAGAGAAGAGAAGAAACCTCTAGAAAAGACTTTATTGTTCTCAAGGTCTTTTGCACACTGCAATATCAAGCTTATTACTTATCATATATTGTTCATCGGCATTCTCATGTTGATGCAATGTTATCAAATGTGGGATGCACACTTGATGCAATCGGGAGTCCGATGAGAGATTGGAATGCAGATTGATGCGGTCCGAAGAGAGCACATCATAGGCGATGCAATCAATAAATTTAAAAAAATTATAAAAATCATAAAAATGTAAAAACACAGAGGAAAACACAAATGTGCGACTTATGTGACAGCAGTACTTTCCTCTAATATATTAGCTATCTGAGTCGCCTGATAACATGATTGTCTGATAAAGAATAACATAGTGTATTGTCTAACATCATCATCATCATCATTAGAACTTTTTCCCAACTATTTGGGGTCAGCTGCACGAATCATGGTCCGCCATTCTACTCTCTCAAAGGTCATACCCTCAATGAGGCCATAAGTCCCCATATATTTTCTTACTACCTCCAATCAATGCCCTTTTGGGTATTCCCCTTGCCCTTTTTGAGCTTTCCACTTAAACCAACTAGCACCTCTTAACATGTGTTGTATTGGGTTTGTGCTACACATAGCCAGCCCATCAAACTCCCCTTTCCCTCATCTTATCACCTATTAGAGTCACACCTAGATTCTCCCGAATGTATTTATTTTCGAATTCTATCCCTTCTTGTCTTGTCACTCATCCATCTCAACA